CAATAAAATATAAATATGAAATTAACCAATAGAATATAATAAAATATCATTCAATTAAATTTATAATATGAATTAATCAATAAAATAAGAACTAAATATTCATATCATAACAATATCAAAAATAATAGAAAAATTAAAAATCTCAAAAATAGTAAAAAAATAATAATAATTCATAAATAGTTATATAATTATCTTTTATTTTTATCAAATTTCTTATTATATTTTATCTATTTAAATTAATATTTATCTTTTTATATTTCTTATATTCTTTTTTATCTCTTTTAATACTTTTCTATCTTTTTTATTCTTTATTTTACTTTTTTTTTTGATTTCTTTATATCCCATATAATATTTCTTTTAATCCTTTTTTTACTCTTTTATATCCTTTATACTTTTTTCTATCCTTTTCTATATTCATCTGATACAGGTATAATATTCTGTAATTTTAATATAGATCAATTTGATCTGTATAAAAATAATATTTATAGTTATAAAACAAAATTTTTGTATAAATATGAGTGCTATCTCAACATACATTTTCTTATATTTCTCCAATTTTAATAAATATAATTTAATTTATAATATTAATTATTATATTAAATACTATATTTATCCTTTATCTTTGAATCTAATTCAAAATAATTGGCTAAAATAAGTTGGAATTAAATATCAAAGCTTGTTAATTTAAGTCAATTTTCATTAAAATTATTTATAATTTTTATGTCAAGGATATATTTTATAGAATAATTGATTTGTTATTGAGTATTAATATTTGATTTTGTTATTTTTAATATTCTTTGAATTAGTTATGTATTGCAATTTTAAATAAGTGATTTTCTTTTAGTATTTATATTAGTTTGATATAGTTAAATATTTCAACTCTTAATAAATGCATTAGTTTTATTAGTATTTTTATTAATTTGATTAGTATTAGTATTTTTATTTAATATTGGTAAATGTAAATATAATAGTACTGCAACCAATATTTCATTAATTAGTATAGTTTTTCTTTGTTATTTCACTCTCTTAAACTCTTTATTTCTTTATATGTGAAATTGTTTAACAATTTTCATAAAAATTGGTACAGATATTAGATATCTCTTTGCTTTTGCTAAATTTCATTTTATTATAATTCATCCTCTCTCATATTCTTATATGACTATTGATACTGAAAGTAAAGAAACTCTTTATTATTACATATTGTTAGCAATACTTACATTCTCAAAAGCAAAAAAGATATGATTTTAAAGAGGTTGTAACTATATGGGAATCAAATTTCTATAGTGCATAACATCTAAAGTTATCAAATATTGATATTTTATAAAATGAATAAACTTCTTTACTAAGAAGTAAATACAAAATTTAATCCATGAATAGATTGTGATAAAACAATATGAAAAAATTGAACATCTGGAAAACTCTTATTAATTTTAATCAAAATTAGTAATCTCAGAAAAATGCCAAGAAAAAGCAATCAACTTTGAATACTTATATTTCTTCCAATATTCAACCGTGAATATAAAAGAATATTTATCTTGCTCAAAAAGGGTCTATTCTATCATATTCATGGATTAAATTTTGTATTTACTTCTCAATAAAAAAGTTTATCCATTTTATAAAATACAAATGTTTGATGACTTTAGATGTTATGCAATATTTAATGCTAACTCAATATTCTTGATTAATCATAATTACGAATAAAGTTTAATTTAGTTTTGGATACATTTTTCGGTATACTAATTATTAAGAAGATACAATTATCCGAGAAAATTAAAAACCTGAAAACCTTGATAGAAGAAATAGAAAAAAAACACATTTTCATATCAGATGGACAAAAATATAAAACAAAATCAAATTGCTGTCGTTTTCTCCAAATTTGAGCAATAATTTGAATTCGCGTCTTTTGCTTAAATCATTCCTAGAGACGTTATGAAAAACCCAGAGAAAGATCATTTGTTGATCACAACCCAGATAGAAGATAAAACTTTGTTCTTAGAACTATATGGAAGTAAAGAAAGAAAAACAAACAAACAAAAAAATAAAACGAAACAATACAAGAAACAAAGAATAGCAACAACAACAAGAAGGACGAATTATTTCTTACCTTCCATCGGTTATTGCAGTTAGTACACGTGACAAAAGTGGTCATCGGTTCATCAGCGCTTCGGGTCTGATTTCAATCAATCATAAAATAAATTACAAAATTAGAATAATTCTTGCAAATCTGTGCTAAAAGTGCACATAAAATACGTGCCTGCATTTGGTAATAAGAAGTTTTACGTTGACCACACTTTCCACACCTGAAAGCGTCAGTTTCAGCTTCTTGTTGACCTGCACCACGGGCTTGGAAAAGAAGCTGTTCTCGTATTTGGGCATCTCGAGCTTTTTTTTCTTCCGATGCCATTTCCTATTTTTAAGAAAATACAAATTGAGGGAATGATAAGAGGAGAGATGGATATTAAACGCAGATTCTTTTTCTCCAAACCTGTTTTGACATGGTGCACAGTCTTTGAACTGTCAGTTCACCCTTCACGACGCTATGTCTTAATCCAGGATTCGAACGATCCTTTAAATTGAATATCAAGCCTCGTAACTTCTCACGGTATTCTTTCTCCATATTATTGAATTGCCTGTACACTTGTTCCTCAATTTCAGTCGCTTTTAAAATGATTGTCGAAGAATCTAAATCATTTGTTAGATATGTATAGCACGAGTCAATATAGCAAAAGTCTACGATTAAAAATCGAAACATTTCATTATCATTAAATAAAAATAATATTAACAAACCAGCAAAAGAATCAAAAACAAGAGCATTGTACAAAATCTCAACCATCTTAATGCGTTTTTTGTCAATAGACTGGTCAACTCTGACACCATCTGCATTGAAATTCCTTTCGCCACCACCGCCATTCTCTGAATAAGGCGTATCCGGTAATGAGGTGGCCGGAGTTGGAGCGGTAGAGCTTTGAGAATTAGATCTTTGAATTTTGTATGGCTGAACGGGGCTCGAAGAACCATTAGTATTTGGTTTATTGGTAACTGGTTTTTTTGGTGGCACACCATTCACTTGACGAACTTCATTAGTTTTATTTTTCTTTGCTTTTTCGTCATTTTGGACGTCGGTTCGCCACTTTTTCACAATTTCTTTGGCAAGATTGGCAATGCTTGGATTTGTGTGTGCTTTTTGTTTGTTGACGTAAACTCCAATTTCAGTTTTCTTGCATTATCCAAAGTCAACATACAACTTGGTTATTATAGTGTAAACGGTGTAAAAACATTATCACGAATACTTACCTTCAATAAATCCTTGGTAGCTTTAACTTCCGCTTTTAGCTTTTTAAGGATGTCTATTACAGCCTTAAAGAGTTGTTATTATAGAAGTAAAAAATAAGCTGGAAATGCTTATATTTACACCACATAACAATACGGTAATCGGTCAATTTAAAAGCACTTACAGGTTCTCTGCCACCTGCAATTGCTTTATTGAAATCATTTTTAAGTTTGTTGACGTCTTCGACATTCATATTGGAGAAAATCTCAAAGTTGAAGGGAAGGACAGTTATACTAGACTACGGACAAACTATCATTTACTGTGTGTCAACTCCGAGTGAGCCTAATTTTTGATAATTCACGTGATGTTCTATAATAAATTATATAAAGGGCTACAGATTCAAAGAATTAAATTTAGCGATTTTCCCAATTTTGGTTTTAGCGTTCACACCATCACACATTCTCACAACTTTTCGAAAATGGGCAAAGGAACAGATAAAATGTGGGTGTTTTCGTTTAATAAAAAAAAGCTTTTTACCCGGTCTTGTTAATTTGTTTGATCTCTTCACGCTACCTTAGGTACATTACTCATTCTGGTAAGTTTCTTATATATCTTGTCATTCGGCGAGGTGGTTGGTGTACTCATCATGCCTTTTCTGTAGAGTGGTCGGGTGAGTTCGGTGGAATGCAGTTTGGTGGAATTCAGGCCAGAAAACAGACCGAAACATTCAAGCGACTTCCTTTCTTCTGTTGTTCTTTGTCTTTACAGCCGTTTGAGTACCCTTATTGTACGCCTGATGGTACAATTTTTGATATGACGTAAATATCTTTCATGGATTGAGATTGTTTATGTCTGCTTCTTAACTTTTCCACAATATTCTAATTCAAAATAGAAATATTTATGCCTATATAAAAAAATACGGAACGAATCCTGTTACCGGGAAAAAACTTGAACTGAAATCACTGATTAAATTGAATTTTTTTAAAAATCCTAATGGTAATTGAAAGGTTTTATTCTTTCTTTGTATCTATTTAATTTCTGCTGTAATTAAACGAGAGAAAATCTTTTTGCAGACGAGTATCATTGTCCCTCCACATTTAAGGTATTCACGGACCATACACACATTGTGGCAATTAAAACTACTGGAAATGTGTTTTCATGGGAAGCAGTTGAGCGGTTGAATGTCAAAGCAAAAAATTGGAGGGATTTGCTTACTGACGAGCCTTTTACACGAAAGGATGTCATCACAATACAAGTAAATATGTATTATAATATTTCACTCGTATGAAATATCGTTTATTAAATGATTAATTTTTTTAGGATCCTCATAATCTTGAGGCGCGTAATTTATCTAATTTCTATTATCTGAAAAATGATATCAAAGTCGTCGATGAAGGTTTCTAGTTTTTTATATAATTAAAGTGATTATTTCTTTGTTTATATTTATTAATTATCTTTATTTCTTTAGAGAAGGAAAAGGCAAAACAAAGTCCTTTATATGACATAAATGTCGAGGCAACTGGTTCCGCAGGAAAAGTCTTGGAAAAAATTTCTAAAAAGGTTTGTTCTTCGATTTACGATTAAGTTAGCATGATCAGGAAATTGGTGTAACAATTCATGAATTATTTAATTTAATAGAATGAAAACACGTCAGTTATAAAAACTGAATCTAGCACAAAAAAAACACCAGATAAAGCGAAAATGCCATATAATGCAGCTCATTACTCCACAGGCATGGCAGCAGCTTCGTTGACATCTACTGCAATGGATCCGGTAACAGAGAACACCGCGGCTTTACTAGACGAAGAGGAATTTATGTTCAAAGAAATCAAGGAAAAGGGGTATGTTCGAATAGTTACGAATCTGGGAAATATTAATGTCGAACTTTTTTGTAATAAAGTAAGTTTGGATTTTTGAAGAGTAAAGTATCTTTTACTTTCTTAACCTAATTTTTTTTTACTTTTTTCTAGTCCCCACGTGCATGTTATAACTTTATAATGTTATCAAAGCAGGGATATTATAAAAATGTTATATTTCATCGTAAAATCAAGAATTTTATGGTAAGTCTAAAGCTACAAAAGAAATTTATTTGGTAATATGCTAAATAAGTTGGTGATTTGATAGATTCAAGGCGGTGATTCTACTGGGACTGGTAAAGGAGGTGAATCTTTTTGGAAAAAAGATTTCGCTGATGAATTTAAGAGCAATTTGTCACATAACGAACGCGGGCTTCTTAGTATGGCGAATAAAGGCAAGAACACAAATTCTTCACAATTGCAAGTATTAATTACCCTTTAAGACTCAATTTGCCTATTATTCAAAGTAAGATTTCGTTTAATTCATCGCTAATAATTTGATATTTATTTAGCTTTTTCACGTTTCGACCTTGCATACATCTTGACAATAAACACACAATTTTCGGTAAAATTGTTGGAGGAAAGGAAGTCCTCGACAAAATGGAATCTATTCCCACGGATGAAGCCGATCGTCCATTACAAGAAATAAAAATGATTGACGCAATTGTATTCGTGGACCCTTTTGAAGAGTACAAGAAAAAACTACATAAAAAATTAGAACGAAAAAGTTCGGAATCAGGAAAGACGCGCTCAGTTGTCAAGTCTGAAAAGGTTTGTGGTGATATCTTTTTCATTGGTTCAAAATTCAAATTGACAAATGAATCGTTTTTTATCGGTAAATTAAATTGAAAGGATACTACCACGTGGTTTGGGACATCATTAAACCAATCGACTAGTTCCAAAACCACAGAAAACGGAGTTGGGAAATATTTGCAATCGTCATCTGTTGCAAAGCGAGATGCAAATTTGGACGAGGAAGAGGATGTGATTGTTCATACTCCAAAAAAACTAAAACCAACGGGATATAACTTTTCGGATTTTAGCAGTTGGTAAAAAGGTTTGTATTCGTATTTAATGTGTATAGTTAATGCCTTAAACCAAAATAAATTATATGAAAAAAGGGAATATTGAAAAATAAAATAAATTATGGTAATTCATTTTCTATATCATTCAATTGTACATGTTTCATTTCATTGTTGGTGATTTTTTGTGGCGGAGCGATTCTATCACGGTGATTTTCATCTTCCAATTGATTTGTTAATGTTATAGAATTGGATGAAGAAGATGTCTGTTGTATCGTATTATTATCAGTCGGTGTAGAATCTGGAGGTATAATAGCAACGTTTACGGTAGTTTTTGACATTGCATTTGTTTCATTGGCGTTATTATCAGGTGAATTTATTATGTTTTCAATAGTAGTATCCAATCGTGGAGTCGTTATTGATTCAGATGATAGTACATCTCTAATTTCGGCAGTTTGAGGGACTAAATTCACTGAAGACACCGATTCTATTTGCGGTGCATTATAATGAATTTGTTGTATCGCTGATAAGTTTCGATCAGTTTCTGCTGGTACATTCGGGTGTTTAGGAGAAAATGCAGTAAATTCCAGTCTTTTTTCCCCTTCTACGTCTGTAACATCGGTTTGATCAAGATCACTTTGATCTGCTTCGTTTGATGAATCACCTTCTAAAATCGGAGAACTTTGCTCTGAGATATCTTTAAAATCTTGGATAGATCCTTCAATTTCATCGTCATCGTTATTGTTGCCTATCGATGGAACTGCAAGTCCATGAGAATGTGTTTTTGTATCTGATGTTGAATAAGATGGTGGTGGTGGTGGTGGTGGTGGTGGTGGTGGATTTGTTTCGGCTAGAGAAGGTGTTAAAGTGGATGAAAGGTGAGGTCGTGGTGGAAGAATAGGTCGATGATCCTGTGGAGGTTTCCAATCTCCAAGTGCAGTTATGGCATTTGTGATGGCTTCTAAAGTTTTCTCCTGTCCTAAATTGAATTGAATTCAATTCAATTCAAAACAGTCAAATCGAGTGAAAATTAATTTATGATCAAGAATTAACATTTACCATGATAAGTTCTTTGTTCTCCTGGTTCTATCTTTTCCAATGGAATCTGCTCGATGATTTCTTTGCTAAAATTTGACAATATGAGCATTTTCGTTGAAAAATCATGTAACGCCTCCATCTGCACCAATAGCGCCTCGCGTAATTTTTCGCGTTTAAAATCTCCTAACGCAGTTTCTTCTAAAAATACGTGCGTGATCAAAAAATTATCAACTACTATCGATAGATAAGGCAATTGCAAACTTAACAAAAAAAAAATACAGACCGACAATCGACTCTTTCTCCAATTTCTCAATTTCCTCATGATATTTTGCAATTATCGCTTGACTCGCTTCCGGATGTTTTGAAGTACTAGCACGACGCTCTTCCTTCTCGATTTTCGACCAATAAGATTCTTTTTTGAAACGTTGGTCTTTTATCGTGGATTCTTGCGCACGAATATCTTTTAGGTGTGTACGATATTGAGTGTACTTGTCGGCTGTAAGCAATGACGATAGTAGTAATAGCTATTAATACATGTGCATAGTGCGTTTGAAAGTAAATTCAAGGTAACACAACAATTTACCAAGTGCTCCTTCAGCCTCAGCCATTTTCGCAAACAAGTAAGAAAGTTTCTCCGTGACATCATTCAAGTCGATTCCTTCACTTTTCCCCCATGCTGCCAAGTACTTTGATGTCTCATTATGTTCATAAGACCAAGTGCTCAGACTATTCCAAATGGTTTTTTCGGCGGTGAGCAACTTGCTCAGGTGTGGATTGCCCAAATGTGGATTAACAGCGTTTAAGTTTCTACGAAAGTCGCTACTGATATTGTCTAAACCACCTTTAATTGCTTTCATGGTATAATAAAATTGTAAAAGATTGCAGCAGTTCTCGGTGCATATGATGCAACCTTATTTATTCAAAGTAATCGGCTAAGGCATAGGCCCGGTCAGAACCGAACACTTTATTGATATGTATGACATTAAATATAATATATTAATGGTAGATGTACAAATTCAATGAGTCAAAGTTAAATATAAAAAAATATCATAAACCCATTAGACAAAATTATTAACAAAAATTCAGGAAATAATTCCAAATGAATAAATAATAAATTAATCAGCTTTTCTCATCTTTCTTTCCATCTCCTGGAAAGCCATCTTTTGGAGGACCATCATAAGCAGGTGGTGCTTCATCGATCGGAGCACCAAGGAAGAAACCTCCTACAAAACCTCCTGCTTGATTTGGGGGTGGAGGACCACCTTGACCAGTATACCCGAATTCTACTGGGCCAGGTTGTCCTGCTTGATTTGGAGGCGGAGGAACACCTTGACCAGTATACCCAAATTCTACTGGACCAGGTTGTCCTGCTGGCGTAGCTTGACCATAGTAACCTGGTTGCTGTTGATAATATTGTTGATAATACTGTTGTTGATTATAATATCCTTGTGGTGGTGGTTGACCATATAACGGTTGTTGTTGAAATGGAGGTCCCATATGTTGAGCGGCAGATGGTGTTCGGGATAATCCGTCTTGTTCTGTAGAAGCTGCAACATCTACGCTAGCAGGTGATGGTGCTGCTGGACTAGCTCCAAGTGATCTATTTAATGGAGGACCTGCGCCTGCATTCGAAGGTATTGGTGACGAAGGAGTAACTTTGAGTCCAGCAAGTTGAGATTTAATACTTGAGATATCATCCTCGAGACGTCCAAGCTTTTCCTCTTTTTGATCTAAAGTAGATGTTTTGGATTTAAGTGTTTCCTCTAAATCTTTAACTAATTGTGATAATTTTCCTTTTTCAGTGGCAACACTATTCATCTCGCTTTGAAGTTTAACAATAAGTGCATCTTTTTCACGAATTTGTACCTCATATTCCTGCTTTTGCGCAAGAATTGTATTATGGTCTTTGAGTTGAGTTTCATTTTTTTCCTTTTCGATATTTAAAGCAGACGTCAACTCATTAACCTTTGCTTCAGTACGCTGAATTTCCATTTGGAACTCTTGATTTTTTGTCTCAAGTTCCGAAATCTTCGTTCCTGATTCTTCTCGTTGTGTAGCTAAAGCAGATCCAAGATCATTAAGTTGCACTTCATAGAAATGTTTTTGCGATGATACCGAGTCCGATAAATCATTAATTTGTGATTCGTAAGCATTTTTTTGTGCTGCAAACGTCGTAGTCAGTTCGACTATTTGATCTTCGAACGTTTTTTTTTGGTCTGCTAATTTTTTTAAGAGTTCGGCGATTTGGTCGTCGGAGGCTTGTCGCTGCGAGGTTATTGTGGTTTGTAATTGGGCTATTTTTGCTTCATACTCTTGTTTTTGGGCGGCTAGCTGTGCTGGTGCGGTATTTGTTAGTGCTGGTAAGAGCTCTTTGATATCGGTGGATGGTGGTTGCCAACGATGCAATGCTATTTGGCATTCTTTAATTACTTCCTGAGTGGCATTGAAAGCTTTCGTGAACAAAATAAAAATTCATATTAGTAAAATAATTTTTGCTCGAGACAAAAAAGATTTTCAAAAAAATCTTTACAATCATATTTTGGCCTCGGTTCTCCGACTCTAGCCGGCGTGGTATTGATATGTTCCAAAAGGTACAACCCAAAACCCGTGATTATTGCGATTTTCTCCGCAGTCTCAAAAATTGCATTCATCTGTAATGTGAGCGCCTCCTTCAACTTTTGTCTTTTTATATTACCGACTTCTAAACTGTCGACCGTCGAATCTGTGTTGATACGTTGAAGATCATTCTGAAGTTCTTGAATCCGCGGCGAGCCCGGATGCGATTTCATGAGTCTAGTTAATTCATCATTGACTTTTCGTCGCCGTTCTTTCGGGGCGTGAAGGCGTTGATCTGCTTCTCGGATTTCTTTGAGTATGTTGCGATAGTGGTCGTATTTTTCTGGTGTTGATAATATAACGTTAAGTATGATTATAATAATTATTGACGATAAAAGTTTTTGTCAGATTCAACAATTTGAATAGCAATTTATATTTTACCACATAAAACTGTCTCTGCGTCCGCTACTTTCGCCAATAAATTTGACACTTTTTCGGTTATATCCTAAATTAAGATTTTAAAATGCTGAATTTCACGAAAAATAAAAAAGTCCCAAAATATATTTTTCTGTATCCTAAAGAACTTACTGCAATATCTTCAGAATTATCTTCTTTTCCCCAAATGAAAATATGTTTGCTGACTGTTTACAAGAATTCCAAAAAAAAGTGTTCATATAAACAAGAATTAAATGCATGCAAGTTAAGCAAGCGCAAAAACACATTACACCGTAAAGAAAAACACACGACCGCCACATAAATTCATTATTTTACCTTCTCTCCTTTCAGCAGCAACATTCTGCAAGCTAGTCAAAATATTTTTCTCTTCTTTCAACAGAAGCGTAATGTTTTTCAAATCTTCCGTCAGTCTTGGGTCAACTTTCGTGAGGTTACGACGAACGTCATGATGCAAAGTATCAAAATTGAGTTTGTTGAGCCCGAGGGTGTTTAGAATTGTTCCTTGTCTACCGTCATTGGTACTTGAAAGAGTTGGGCGGTAACTCATTTTTTAAGGTCAACCGAGATATACATGGATGTTGAATTTATATAGTTTAGCGTTCTAAAAATAGCAATCAATCTTGTGGCAATGCATTCATATAGATATCTCAAATAGGTTTGCCATAATAGCTTAGATTCGGATATAAAATTGGCATAATTTATATAATTTATTCAAAAATTGCAACAAAAATTTAAATTTTCTATTTTCTATATTCCATAAACTTCTCGATACTTTTTCAAATTCTCCAAATGTTCATCATATCCACCATTTTCAGTCAAATATTCAATGATCTGCTCGAGATTAATGATAGGTTTCACCGGTATTCCATAATCATCCTCTAGTTCCTGAATAGCAGACTTTTCCCCGGTCCCGCGTTCTTGTCTGTCAAGCGCCACAATAATACCAACCGCCAAAGCATTGTGGACTTTAATTATTTCGAGACTCTCTCGAATTGCCGTGCCTGCAGTGATCACATCATCAATAATTATTACTCTACTACCCGTGGTTAGAGGTGCCCCTACAATATCACCACCTTCCCCGTGATCTTTTTTCTCTTTTCTGTTAAAGGAATAAGGAATTTCTTTGTGATATTTCTCGTAGAGAGCTGTCGCGGTTGAAGATACCAAGGGAATTCCTTTATAGGCTGGACCAAATATCATTTCATATTTTATTAAATCATTTTTATTACTAGCAACTGTTGTTATATTTGATTCTGCTAAAGAAGAAACTACTGCGATATCTTCTAGTGTTGCAGCATAGCATTGACTAAGAAACGATAAGGAACGTCCAGTGTAAAACTGCCCAGCGTTGAAAAAGAACGGACTAATGCGTCCTGATTTAAGTTTGAAGCTTCCAAAACGAAGTGCATTTTGGTCAATAGCGAAAGAAATGAAGTCTCGTTGATAAGTTTTCAATGGCATTTTCTTAGCATTAGTGAAACAACAAAAAAAATTTGATCTTATCCAATAATAAAAAGAATTACGTTATTGACTGTCATGCGGCGATCCCGAATCGGTGGATGTTGACCGATTGTCTATATATAGCAGTTTATTGTAAACAACAACAGTACAGTTAATATCATCATAAGGACACTTCATATAATAATAATAATAATACAAGTTTTTTCCCAAAAACCTCATCTGGACCATGTCAGTATCAGAAGGCGCACATCCCTCCGGCGACGAAGTAGAAGACTTCAAAGAACAAGATCGCTTTCTTCCAATAGCGAATGTAGCACGCATAATGAAAAAAGCTTTACCAGACAATGCCAAAATCGCCAAAGAAGCCAAAGAATGCGTACAAGAATGCGTATCAGAGTTCATCTCTTTTATAACCAGCGAATATCCTTTTTATTTGATATATTTTTTGTTTCAAAGAACTCGAATGCGTTTTTTGAGGTATGTTATTCTTTGACTTGTTTGATTTTTAAATACGGCTAGCGATCGTTGTCAACAAGAAAAACGTAAAACTATCAATGGCGAAGATATCCTTTGGGCAATGCAGTCACTTGGGTTTGAGAACTACGCTGAAGCTCTGAAAATTTATCTTCACAAATACCGAGAGGTTAGTTTAATTCGTAAATGTCTAAAGAATTGATCCAACAACAATAGAAGTTGAAATTAACTTAATATGCATTTACGTGATATTAATACAGACAACAAAAATCGAGCGATCTTCTTCAAATTCAAAAGAGAAAGACGATGAAACTGGTGTAAATGTGAATCCAATGTTTCAACAACCACCACAATCACAGCAATCACATCCTGGGACTTCTTTTTATCAAAACACAGATGGTTTCTAATGTGTTATACGATATTTTGAAACTTATCATTGTCCGCTTAGATGAACATATATAATTTAATAATTAATATTTTTGATTTTTGTAAAAAACGCAAAAGTATTTTCATAAACGTGGATACACAACCCTATTATTATTGTTATTACTAACTACTATTAGACTTAATGTAATTAGAGTTTACTTATTAATTATTAAATACTATATACATTTATTGATAAAAAAAACCGTCAAAGAATTTGACTCGTAAAAAAGAAATACTTGATTTATACAACCATTTCCACTAAATCCCAAGTTTCATTTCCATCTTCTATTTCCTCGTCTTCTTCCTCATAAAAATAATTATCATTTAGCGCATTAGGTACCCTAAAAATTATCGGGTTAGTATCGTCGCCGTATCTCCGAGCAACCATTATTCCCACAAGTTGTTCGAAATCGAGTGCAAATGTTTGCTCTGAAGCGCTCAGCGTTGTTAAATGAGAATATCTAAAAAAACAATGCGTATTTCAACCGATACCATTAAGAATAGATAACATATAAAGTAATAAACATACCTTCCAAGATTTACCGAATTACAGCATAGATACAAATTCTGAAGTGTGTATGGAACTTTATTAAATGGTATATCAACACCTTGCGAATGACACAAATATGCAATGTTATAATTCAGCATCGCCATTCCATACGTGAAATACTCGAGATTCTGATCAGTCAGGAAAAGTGGCCGTTTACTGCACATAAAACAATTTATATTCAGAATTCTATTTTATGGAAATAAAAAAATTGAATATTTAAAACCTTTTTTGAACTCCTGGTAATGTGCCATGTGCATGAGGATTCGAGTTTTTATCACGCGTCATAAAGAAAGGCAGTTTTACACCGAGATAATGTGCAATTAGTCCAAGCATATGTATTACGTGGCCAACCGCAGTATTAATTTCTTCCTGCGGGCACGCTAAATATTTTTCATAGTATAATAATTAGTATATGTGAAAGTTTATAAACAAGAAAAATGACATGCAAAATAAAAACCTCTGAAATCGCCTTTTCTTGGTAGTGCCCTTCCAGCAATTGTATATTCAACATCCTCATCAGTGCTATTACCACCACCACCTCCTCCTTCAGTTCCATTAGAAGTTATTGATTCATCCACGCTATTAGGTTGCTTTTTATTAATGCTAATTCCATTCTCTTTGTGACTGTTCCTTTCTGAATCACTATTAATAGTTATCTTCTTGAAATCAAATAACGACACCAGTTCTGCAATCAAAACTTTCCGCGAATGTATGAGAACCGTGTGTACATGTCGCCATCTTTCTTTAGTGTTGGCAATGTCTTTTATAATTGATGTCTTTTGGTGTGACTGAAACTTCTTGGAGATTGCTAATGATTCTTGTAATACTTGACGTCGTGTCTGAAGCTCTTTTCTTAAAAGTTCAACTTCTTGCCGATCTTTAATAGATATAATTATTATGAGGACACGTAAACATTTAATATATGAATTTAATTAATTGACGAGTTGTACCTCTTCCAAGTTCTTCCCGCAAACGTTCTGTTTCGAATTCAAGTAAATTTAGTTTCTGTGTCGCACTGTGTTTCTCTGCAGAGCTTAACTGTTGAATCCGAAGCGATCCATTCATGAACTTTGTAGCACGGTCAACATAGCGTTGTTTCTCAACATTCACTTGTTTCATTTCTGCATTATGATTACGCAACCTACAAACAAATTTTTCTAGCACAGGCTTTGAAACTTTTGCATTAAACAAAAGATTTGTCCATATGAAATAAATAATTTACCCGTCACGAAGACAATTAGCACAAAAGAATTTGCGATGAACATTATGACAAATGTTGCACTCCATTTTCTTTTTCTAATCAATTAAAATCAATAATATGAAATATAACATCGACATGCTTTATAATCCCCCGTTTGTGTGACTTCCACTGAATTCGATCAATGATAAAATAATAAATTATTTTAGTGTGAAAAAATTCATTTTCATTACCATTCTTCGCTATGACTGATATCTTTGGATACGTTTACGCTACTGTGATTTTACATAGTTTACTATCTTGTTCTGTTTTTTGTATAATAATTTCTCTGAAACGTATAAAATTGTGTATATAGGCTATTGCTGTCGGAGGCATAATTGGCTATTTAAAAGCAGGTGTGCTAAATTTTTGAAATTTGCTCTTCCATCCTTGAAATCAATTTTCTAAACAAAAATATCTATTAATTCGAAAGGAAGTACTCCTTCCCTGGTAGCGGGCTTGTCTTTTGGTGGTGCTGCTGTATGTTGCAAATTTCTTTTGCTCACAACTAAAATATATGTATTTTTTGGCCACATATACAATTTAAAGGCCTTTTAATTATTTGAATAAATAAAGGGATATGCTGCCTACAGAGTTAGCCTTAATCCCAAGAATTCTGGATTGGCTTTGAGTAATTAATATATTTTATTATGGATTTTTTCTCGTTATTTGAAGTTTTACACCACTAATTTAATTTCCGCTATTGTATTGTTTTATTGTTAGTTGTGTCTTCGGCACTTCTTGTGGTAATGGGAGTTCGATTTGCTAAAAGTGGTAAATTCATGCCCGCAGGATTAATTGCCACACTCAGGTACAGCAATCGTAACTCTATTTACATAATGAAAATTCCACGACTTAAAATTGTTTTATTATCGTATATTTTATATTAGTTTTATATCGGCGATTCGTTACGGGTACCGTAAATTTATTTCTTGAAGTAATATTGATATGATATAATATGATAGTATTAGGTTACTTTTATTATTGTGAAAGATATTTGTTTGTTGTACATGTGTTTCTAATTACCAAAGTTGAAAATATTGATATCGGTAGGTTTCTTTTACTCCAGGAAGAACATAACGTGATGTGATTTAATTGTGGAAAACATAAATCTTCGAGATTTTTAACAGGCGCAAATATTGTCAGCTTAGCTGTTCGTGCACGCGTAAGGGGAACCGAGAAAGTCCATATAATAAAATCATAATATGTCTATCAATACTTGAGATACGTTTTGGCAATTATCCTATCCCCTTTGACTCGTACTCAGAATGAGAATTAAATCCAGGCATGATTCAATATACAGTGGCTCACACATGTAACGGAACACGGAAATTAACTTTCTAGAATTTTTATTTCCATGACTATTACATAGTTCGAACAAAATAAAAAAGTGTTCATTTGAAACCACTAATATTTTTTAAAAATAATTTAACAATAGATTATTTTGTGAAATAAGGTGATTTAAATCAAAATTTACAATTAGTAAATTTCTCACATTGAAGAACTTTTTTTC